GGGAGCGGGGGCGGGGCGGGGTGGGCGGAGCCGGGCGGGGCGGGGCTGGCGGCAGGCGCTGGGCTCCAGTAGCCGCGGCTCAGAGAGCGCGGAGCGGCGCGCGGCGTGCGGGTCGAGGCTGCAGCTCTGGTTCCGGCGGGGGCTGGCGGGGCTGGCGGGGCTGGCGGGGCTCGCCGTGGACTGCCTCAGGGTCGCCAAGCACGTTGTCCGCCCGGCCCGAGGGCTCGCCTAACCACCCCCTCGCCCGCTCGTCCTCCACCCGCGCCCGGAGCGCGGGGGTCGCCGGCGCTGGGCACTCGGCGGCCACCGGGGATAGGGGCTGAGCGGCCGGTTCCCGCCCCCGGGCCGCCGCCACCGCCGCCGCCTCCCAGCCGACCGCCCGGCTTGGCCGCCGCCGCCGCATCTGGCCCCCAGGTCCGCGCCGCGGGGGGCGCGGGCGGGGTCGGGGGTTGCCAGGCGCCGCCGCCCGTGCGCCTGGAGTCCGCGTCCCGGGCCCGGCGGCCGGCGAGCATGGAGGAGAAGTACCTGCCTGAGCTGATGGCGGAGAAGGACTCCCTGGACCCCTCCTTCACGCACGCCCTGCGCCTGGTGAACCAAGGTGAGGCGCCGACCGTTAACTGCCTGCCCGCGGCGGTTGGGGGCCGGGTGGAAACGCGGGGTCCGGGGACGCCGCCGTGCCCGCTGCTGTCAGCGGACGAGGCGGAGACGGAGGCCCGGGCGGCCCCCGGGGGCGTTTGCGCGGGGACCTGGGAGGCTGTGGGACACCTGGGGCAAGACCCAGATGTGAATTTGGGGGGCTTGGAAAGGAAGAAGGCTGGGGCTCATGGGTGAGACTTGAAGGAAATCTTTGGGGACTCAGGGACACCCATGGGAAACTTCTGGGTGGGGAACAGTGACCATTGGGGGCTTTGTTGGGGACAAGGTTGAATTATCTCGTGGAAGGGGAGCGTGTTGGACTTGGGGAAGTGGGTGTTTGGTTTGTCTAAGGTACTGGAGAAGAGGCTGGAGGAAAATGGAAGGACTTGGGCTCAAATGCAGAAGAGGCGAAGGGAACAGGTGCTTGGATTGTTAGCGAAGTTTGGGGACCTTGGAAGAGGGTTGGGGTCAGACCCCAGCACCTGAGAGGAGAAGAGCTCGGTGGTCCCAGGGGAGGAGCCCAGTTTCCCCTCCCATCCCTTTGTCTCTCCTGTGTCCAGGCACCAGTGCACTGGGGGGGGGGGAAGCCAGCCCTCCCCAGGGGTGAGCAGCCCATGCCAAGCCTTGCAGGCTGGCCCTTGGAGAAGTCAGGAGGGGAGAAGAGGCCGGCAAAAGAGCACCCTTCCTGGGGGCGTCGGGTTGGGTGACCCTCATTGGTGGCGGGCTTGAGGTTCGGAGCGGTGATGAAAGAGTCTTTGCCGTTTTCACTCGACTCCAGCCAGCTCAGGATGTGAAAGGTCCTGGGAAGTACCGCGGGACAGGGATACGGGGGTTTCTGGAGGCATGCCTACCCGGGACCGTATTCCCCTGGCCTTCTCTTCCTGTGGCTTCCTGAATCATCCGCTGGGATGCCCGGTAAATTAAGCCTTCCTTCCCAGGAGCAGTGTCCTACCCTTCCTGGATTATGTGTTTCAGATGAAGATGGGTGTGGGGGCCACTGGTCTGCCTTTTTTTTTTTCTAGGAAATGACAGCAACACGATCTGGTCAGATCTGTTACCTTTTGCATGAATTACTGGGCACTGAAACTCTGTGGTTCCCTAGATGAATCAGGGCTGCTGCTCTTAATGCTCGCCCTGGCTCTTTTATTGTTGGAAGTGAAAGATGAGGCAGACATATTCTATTTGTATATAGATACCTATATTTTAAAACAGTGACCTCCAGTATTTGCCTGTTTCAGCCAGTTCTTCAGAGTAGGGTGTGTGTGTGGTCCACTGATGGAGCTGGAGAGACTCTTACTGTCTCCAAGAATTTAAGAATGTTTTAATTGTTGAACAGAAATGGGCTTATGGAGCTCCCCCATTTTATTTTAATTGCAGGCTTATTTTTATTCCTTTAATAAAATGGACTCTTGAAAAAGTAATGGGCATGCATTCCTAAATCAAGGAAGAGAATTTAAGTTTGATGTCTGTGCCCTCTGAGCAGTTCTGCAGTTGAGTTTGTACTCCTTGTGCCTGATGATTTACATATATCTTTTATTGCCTGCTGGGCTGTCATCTCTGAGAGAAATTTCTTTGTATATTGCATGAGATCCCTGGCATTGGAAATATTCTGGAGTGTGAACTCAAGTGCATTTTTCCAAATAAAGAAGCTGAATCAAAGTTAGGTTGTACTCAATTAAAAAACAGTTAAACTAAAAGTATGGTGTGTTATCTTATTTTAAAAGTCAGAATTATTTTCTCTGCCATGTTGCCATAGTATTGTGTTGCTAAAACATCCAAAATTTTTTGGATTCTGTGTTTTTACTACTGTTCATTGCTTCCAGTTACTTGAAACAGATATTTGTTGGGAAAATGTTTCCATTTAGTTTTTTTTTAGGTGTTAAACTCGATAACCTTACTTTTCATAAAAGTAATTCTCGTAAGAATGTAGTTCTCATATGTGAGGAAGGAAAAGAGGAGGTGAAGGAAAGAGGAGGTGCTGCTCAGATGCTTGTCTTACTGTTGATTTAGATTACTTAGGACTGAAACATTTTTCTCGTAAATCACAGGCTGATATTCAGAATGCAAAGCTTTATCATTTTAAATATTAATTATGCTCTGTTATGCAACTCCAAATTTACAAGTGTCTTAAGTCTGACATTACATGATTGTGAGGAAGCTCTAATTTTTAAATCTGACCATCTTATTGGCTATATGAAAGCTTTTTCTTCTTATTGAGTTTTATTTGTGTTTGCCTCTAATGCAACTATGTTTTCGGCAGTTAGTCACATTGGAGTTACTATTTCGGCACTAAATTGTAGAGTGGGTCAGCGCTGCAAACCTTAGCATGCCGTGTAATAGATAGATTTTATGGTATCTCTGAACTCTAACAAGGCCTTAAGTTTGCATAACATTTTAAAGTTTCCAAGGCGCTAGTTTAATCCTCACACTTGCATCCGGGTATGGAAGATGTTCATGTCTTCATTTTTCAGGGAGGGAGCTGAGGATCCCAGCTATCTAAGCTTGTGGGCAAGTGAGATTTAATTTGAATTCTCAAGTTGTCTGTCCCTGAAGCCATTGAGCTTTCTTATTCTGCCTTCCCAAAAAGTTGGAATGAAATACTTCTCACTTGCTAACTTAAAACTCTGCAGAAATCAATGTAATTAGTATGATTGTTTCCAGTTGACTTAAATGTATGGGAAATGATGTATATCCTTTAGGAAGTTTATCCTGATTTTTACAAAAAGTTTCTGTCTGTATTTGCCTTATTTGAGAAGCAAACATTCATGGTAGATTTATCTTTCAGGATTTTAATGTTCAGGCCGAGAGGCACTTTTGAATTAAGGCCCTCCTGTGTATATTAGTTTAATAATCAATGCATTATGATAATGAAACAGTTTATAGATGAGGTTTAGTCGTTTTTTAAAAATTCAATATTCATCAAGATTGATCAGCTTCCTAACTGAATTGCTACTCTTTTCCTAATAGTCTTTGAGAACTTGAGCTAGGATGACAATAAGAAACATAATTCTGTCTAGTATACATTAGCTTTTATATTTTTTCCAGACTTGTGTTTCATGGTGGGCATTAATTGCTGATTTTATTTTCATTTTCCCAGGATAAGTGGCTCTCCTCCACCACCTCCTAAATACTGAATTTGTTTCTTGAATATTTGTTTATTTTTTGAGATGGAGCCTTGCTCTGTTGCTCAAACTGGAGTGCAGTGGCTCTGTCTCAGCTCACTGCACCTCTACCTCCTGGGTTTGAGTGATTCCCCTGCCTCAGCCTTCCAAGTACCTGGGACTGTAGGCATGCAACACCATGCCAGGCTAATTTTTGTAATTTTAGTAGAGACGGGGTTTCACTATGTTGGCCAGGCTGGTCTCGAACTTCTGACCTCATGATCTCCCCACCTCGACCTCTCAAAGTTTTGGATTATAGGCGTGAGCCACTACGCCCGCCCTTTGAATTTGTTTCTCTAATAAAATTAATGGTTAACGTTTATTTGATGTTAAAACTCAAAGAAAATACACTTTATCACACTCCTGACCCCCCACCCCTTTAGTGCCTGTAGGGTGAATTGACATGGCAGTTCTTGCCAAGGAGGTTAATTGGAGATGAAAGTAGTGTTGTATGTTTTATGTTATATTTGCTAGTAGGGGATGTGCTGAGTCTTACTAAAAAACATCTTTAGAAATGTCCTGCGCATTATAATTTAATCCAAGTCTCCAGTATTGGTTTGGAAGGTTTTCAATACAAGCCAAGTAACCATTAAATAAGATTACATAACGCTGTATTTTTAATTACCTGATATAATGTATGGATTGGTGGCTGGCTCACTGCCAAGTCATATTTAGTTGTTGATTACAAGAGAAATCGGAGCAGAGGATTCAAGATTAAGGTGGTCCAGATTTGTGTCTAGGTTGATAAAAGTATTTTGTTGATATGTCAAAATGGTTTTATATCAATTTTGAAAATATTACAACTCTTAGCATTACTTAGAATAAATGTGGGGGATAAAATATATAAAGGGAGGATTATTACTTTATCTTATGTACATCTGTTTGTAATCCACAAATCCCAGTGGCTTAAAACTTGATTTTGGGGGACCCTTATGGAAACATTTCTGATTTGCTTTAATGTCACAGACTTGTAAAGTGAGAGAGTAAGAATGAGAATTGCAGAATTGTGTTTAGGTATGGAGCCTTCATGCTGTAGTTTTTGATTTTCTGTTTCATCCAGAGGAGGATACGATTATTTACTTTTTAGTTTTTTATTGTTTTTCTTTGTGTTATCAGTTTTTTTGTTTTGTTTTATAAGAAAATGTGATGACTCACAGTGTTAGCTATGCCATTTCTGAGTTTTATACAGTGTATTATGATTAAAACTGACCCAGTGATTGTGAGTTCCAGGGTTTTGGTATTGGACATTAGTAACAGGCTTGTAGAGAAACTGCCATGTCGGTTATCTCTGCTAGGTCCTAGGGGTAGAGAGGAAAAACACAGCCTGCAACGGTCGGAAGCCCCTGCTCTCCTCTGTATTCGTTTGAGAATGAGTTTCAGTTTGTAGATGCCCTCTTTCCTAAGGAACATCTTAGTTCTTCAAATATCCTGAAATATTTATTGATTGGATGGCTTAGATTTATTAAATCAGCCTATGGACATTTTTGAGGCACTTGTTGGTACTGGGTCATGTTTGTAATCTCGATACTAGTAACAGGTCAGAGATGGAGAGATTATTAGCCCAGTTTTTCAGTTGTAGAAACCAAGATTCTGACAACTAAAGTGACTTGCCCACAGTTACATGCTTATAATAATAAAATGTCAGAGTGAAGGGTCAAGCCTTGTTCTTTCACAGGTCCATTGTTTTTTTTTTTTTTTTTTTTACATGTCCTACTGACTCTCAGAGGTCTAAAGGGTTAAGTTACTTGTCCGCCTGTGATGGTACAGTTACGGACAGAAGGAGAATGAAAACCCCGGCCTT